CGGATTGTGAGCCATGACTTACGTTCCTACTCGAGAATGCTCTAACGGAACGTTAGTGCAGCCTAAACGTTACCGTGCATTTGTTCACGCAAGAGAACTTCTTTTTCGAATTCGCAGAAGTGCCCCCCATCAGCAGGTGCTTGCACGCACTGACTCGCCGACGAGCGCCTGGCGGGTTCCCACGATCCACGCGCCCCCACTGAGGTCAGGAGAGGACGCATCAGCTCCCGTTTCAAGAAACCAGGGGTCTCAAAACAGCAGTCCACACTTCGAGTCTCATTTCACGTAATATGTGCATTAATATTAACTGAATAAGCAATTTCCCCCCAAAAAATTCTGAATGCATTTATGAGTCTCTCGCATGTCCAGTCAATTTTAGCCTCTTAATATCATTATCCTGTGTGACCTGCGTAAATAAACACATTTCTCGTTACGTGATTCCTGAATAGTCCGCTTGAAGCGAAGGCTTACAAGTGTATCTCTGAACATGTGACAACATCAAAGTAAACGATGAAGTAGAAATTGGAGAAAAATGGGCGATTTAAAAAATATTTATAACTAGAAGAACTTCGATAACTGGGTGAGCAGTAAAAGTTGAAGAATTTTGAAAGTTGTAGGGTGTCACAGAAGTCAAAACGGCAATAATCTTAAAATCCGTAGACACGATAATGTCGAAAACGGAAAACAGAACGTCTTTAATAAATCAGAAAAGTATAAAACTAAGGGTAAAATAGATTGTCTAACCACGCATTAAAGTAGCTGCAGAACACAGTTTCCAATTCTTTGTAAGATATTTTCGTTCGCTTTTCTTCAGTCATTACGGAAACCTAATTCAAACGATTTGCAGAACTTTCACTGTTTTTGTCAGAAAGGCATATGGTCTGTACGCAAGAGGTTTGTTTTTAAACCTTTTACTTAACAATAAATACAAAATGACTCTGCACATACTTTTCAGTTTAGTTAAGTGATTTTGCACTTCTATACAATTGTACACATTTTTGTAATATGCATAAGAATTTTAACTTGAAATCAGGTAAAGAACTGTTTAACATATGTCGTATCAGAGATCTGGAAAAATTTAATGGAAAGCCAAAGCTCGCCTACAGAACTTTTCATGAGAGTTTGAAATTGTGGGTTTACGTATTTGTTTGCTTAGAGCTCGAGAACGGATAAACCGATTAGGACCAAACTTGGTATACCTATTTCTTGAGACAAGGAAGAGATCAAATCAGGGTCAATACTTCGTGAAAAGGTTCCTGAGTTTGATTCCCGCTGAGGGAGTTTCCGGTAGCTCGGATAATAGGCACTATTGAAAAATGTCGCCAAGATCAAAGCAGTTTGTTCCAAAGAGGCAATTATAAAAACAAATGCAACAAAAACTGTCCTGGGTTCGACACCTGAAGGGTAAATTTTATATAGCAAAAAAACAAGAAGAGCTCCACTAATTGAGCAGGAGACCCTCAAAATATCACTGACGACACTATGAAACGACGCCGAGCGTCGCGACAAAAGTTTTCATATTAAGTGAGGAATGGGACACGCGCCATGACGTTGGAAATCTAAGCCACGCGTCGCAATAAAACACGTCACATTAACTACAGGTCACCCAGGGGTAGAACTGGACAACAAGTAGCTTCGCCGACAGTCAGGAAGCCGTCAGAAGACAGTTTTTGCGTAGACATCCATGGAAACGAAATAAGAAACCCGACGAACAGCGTCGCTGTGCGTATCATCTCGACCCTTTCAAAAGACGGCACATTTACTACAGGAAAGCTTCCACGTGAAATTGTAAGCAACGATTGAACGATGACGCCTCTACAAGACGCCACAATTATGACAGATGAATTTCAGGACATCGGCAATGACTCTGGAAAATGAGGAGCGTTGCAAAGCCGACAAAACACGTCAAATTTAGCACAGGTGAGTTTCCGGACCACTTTCAAGGCAAAGTTGTAAAATTGACGTCGAATAATGTTTTTATATTTTCATGTCAAACAACTTCAATGTATTTGAAACTCGACGTTTACAGCGAAAGAATCATGATCTCTCCGCCTACCACCTCGGAAAAAGTATAAATACGTAGTCAAACAATATTCAAACATAGAAATTTATTTTTCATGACAAACTAGAACTCATTTTACTTGGAGGCTTCATCAAAATATTCAAATTTTCTTGAAGTTATCGACAGATTTGGTTTCACTTCAAGTTAATCAGAATTCAGGTCATTGTATAAAGTTATTCACACCTTTTATGTTTTCGAAACGTCTCTTGGTTAAGGCGTTTAGAATTAATTTTGGTATTCAGATATTCGATTTGGCGTCTCCGTGGTAAGTTTTAGAACTAGAGGCCTGTATAGGCTGTTTCACGGAATAAAATATTGCGTATGTTTGTATCTATTTTGGTTTCTTTTACGGTTTATATAACACAACAGAGCACGTTAATGTCAACGTTTAAATATTATCACATCTCATTTACGGCACCGCTAATGCACGGTTATTTTCCCATCCACAAACAACTTCGTATGAAATCCATTACTCGTAGTCTTATACAACATGTAAATAATAGCCAAATGTATATTTTTATCAATATGTATAAAATAAACCATTACTGTGCTTGAACGTCACACATGAAACGATATCCGAGTCTATTAAACATTCAGATGATTTCAGTTTACCAATCGGCTTTATCGGTCACCATTTGTAGAGCATAGATTAAAAGGGGTGATACTAGGGAAATTTATTATTCGTAACACGCAAGTAACATTCGTGGAGCTATTAGTTGCACGTAAACTATCACGTCATTTTGGTCTAGAACTCTGAAATACGTAAGAGTAGAAGCGAGGATTTTAATAACATCAGTATTAATGACATAGTACATGAAGGTATGGGCTAGATTAATTTGAATCCTCCGAAACGTTAGTTACCACATACGTTTACACGATGTCAAGACCAGAATCGACAAGTTATTTAACACGTCATACATTGACCCTTCAAAGTCCAGTGGTAACTATATATACCACCTGCATTAAGAATCAGTAACTATATTTTGTATTTATGTGTTTCGCATGATTCTCAGTGTAAACAGCGATTATTTCATTTGTAATAGTGAAGCGTTGTGTTTTCTTTGCGGTACGGGCTGTATTCTTAAATATTGTTTATATGAGCTTCGGATTTCAAGGGTTAACCACACGTTTATGGCAATTATGAAGTGGTATCAGGCTGAGTGAACGTTTGAAATTATTTACAGAACTGACACAGTTACTATTAAGGAAATGTTCCGATGGACGAAACACGTGAGGTTCAGACAACATCCCCACAAACGCAGACAGACTGGAGGCCAGCAGATCACATCCCATACAAAACGTGTTCGAGTCATGCCTCTTTACATGAGGCAATTCTTTCAGGACACAACAATACAAGGTCTCCGGTACATTGTCGCTCCCAAGAGACACCCTTTTGAAATGTAAGTACTTAAAATAGTAGGCATTTTGTTTTAAATTAAATATATGTGTGTGTAAATTCAAACGTAAAATGTTTACATGTGCTTTGCCACGCGCGATGAAGGTACACACAGCAAATTATATACTATATGTAGATAGGTAATCAGCTTCAGGTTCTGTCGGATTTACACTCAGCGAAAGAAACCCCTCTACGTTCTGAATAAGGTAGTTTGTGGTCCACATAACGAGTATGAACAGTGGCGAGAATCGAACCTAATCGTAGAGAACGTGGACAGTTACTGAGAGGTATAACAGCTCGTCAGTTACCTCAGGTGTGCTACTGAAATTCATGTTTTCTTCTGGTATGTATACTTAATGCCACGGTGGTCTAGCGGTTAGAACGCTGGCCTTGTAATCCTGGGGGGGTCTCGGGTTCGATTCCCGGCGGTGCCCGAATTTATAACTTGTGTTGGGCAAGGCCGTGGTCTAGGCAACACGGAGTTTTCCTCCGGTGGCTTCCCCGGTTTCTCCGTGGCATCCCAACAATTACTCCATTCACACACAGAAGAAGGCAATGGCAAACCACTTCTGGATCATCTGCCAAGAACGTATATGAACAGGTCCCAGTCCGAGAAAAGGATGGAAGGATCCTGTTCATATGGACCTGTCCTCAGACAGAACACTAAATAATAATAATTTATACTTCTGTCCATATTATACCTGTAGAATGTAGTTGGAATTTGATGCAGTTACATACTGGACCATCAACGAGTGGTCAAAGCAAGATTGTCAAATGCTAGTCCAGTTACTAAATGGGGCACATTACTGCTTATGAATTTAAAAATTCTCTATTATTACCCCCAAAATGTCATCCCTTGCCAACATCTAAAATTGTAAGGTATTCCTCTTATAAAAATTTCATACACAAATACTTAAAAATATTTTAGATGTCCCTAACCAATTATTGCCACAACTCTCTCTGCTTTACTTGTATAATGTAATAATAAGTTATGATACTTACATAGTTGTTGTTTCAAATTGTTTGCTGCAAAATACACAAATAAAGATACACATTTCACATCACTTAAATTTGATAAACTTGCACAACACGTGATAACGTCACTCGACCCTGACTGAAATTAAACGACATGGCTTTCAAGTTACAGCAAAGATCGTCAGATGGCAGAATTGCATAGGACAACGTTAATCACGCGAAACTTTAATATCGTATTTCGAATTGTTTTAATACACAAAAATTTATATGTAGTAAAAGACTATTTATTCAATATAACATTAAATAATTTAATTAGGAGTATGTAATAAACTTTCAAAAAAGCTTATTACATGTAAGAATGCAATAGATTTATTCAATATAGTTCCTGCGTCTTCTTATTCTTCTGAGACTGGTTGTCAGACGTGAGTCATATGGAGTACATGGCGACTGCTTTGTACTTCACTCGGCCTACAGGTTGATTAAAAAGTATTTTTACAGAATAATAATAAAAACTATAGTTTCATAAATTGTATGAGTGTACAACTTGGTCTCTGGCCCTAAGCGAATAATAGGGTCCAGATGAGAAAATTTGGACCGAAGAGTAGTATGAAGGCACAAGAGTCTGAAGAAAATAATTTAATGAGCATCTTCATAATTTATACTCTTCGCCAAATATTATTAGGATTATCAAATTAAGAATTATATGGGCGGGGCATGTAGCTCGCATGGGGGAGATTAGCAATGCATGTAAAATTTTGGTCTGAAAACGTAAAGGGAAGAGTCAGTCGGAAGACCTGAGTGCACGTGGCGGAGTTTTGTAACCAGTGGCGGATTCCATAAAAGTCGTCATTTTTCACTGCATGAACGCGATTTCTGTGCCAGGTTGCTGTGGGCTGCGATCATCCTCGTGGCCAGTCTCGGTGCCATATTCGTGATAACGGGCAGCTGGGAGCGCTACGTCACCAACCCCACTGTGATGTCTCTCGAGAAAGATTATCGTCAGTGGGCCACGTTCTTTCCTGCAGTCACCATGTGCTTCTTGGAGAATCTGAACTACACCCGGGCAGACCAGGAAATAAAGAAGTATGATGTACTTCGTGGAATTGTGGCCGAAGAAGTGGCACTGGGATAGTATTTTTTTTCCCAGTCCTATTTTTCCCAGTCACTCTCATCGCACCGCTGCTCCATCTGTAGGATGGACAAGTGGCCCGTTAGAGGCCGCAGTTTCTCAGAGACACAGTCTCACCCCCAAACAAAACAACAAAATAAATTATTTGCATCGCTTACGATAAGTGTACAGTGTACTTACTTATGCACCGGCGTGTACTTATATTCCAATATTTATTATTTTATTCTTCGTCATTATAGATTTGACCCTCTGTCTTACATAAGCAATGAATCCTCCAGCTACCTGTTTCGCGTAGGACTTCGTGGACGTGCTTACAACCTGCTCAGAACGTAACACACAAGATCCTGGGAATGCATCCACCTCTCAAACGAGATTCGAACTCGTGATACCAGAGTTGAAGGGTTTCAGTACCGCACGTCACTTAGGCCGCAGCCATTAATCAATTTAATCAATACTTTGCTTCATTACAATTTATTTTATTTGCAAAAAAAGACATTATATATTATTTAACGAAACGCTGCGGCATATTCGGGAGGTCCGAGGTTCAAGCATAGGACCAGAGATTAGCTATTCATACTGAAGATTTTCGTGGTTTTCCTCAGTCCCTCAAGGGAACAGCACTTCAGATTAGACAACCGCCTCTTCCGTGTCCTTTACGACACATCATTCATTAATAATCCTATCACTCGATTCTGAAAACCTTTATTTAATGTCAGTTAAATAAACTATGAACACAAAATTAATTTTTAAATGTTGCTGCTTTAATTATTTTGCATTTACTTCAATTTACTAATTTGTTACGCGTCCACTTCTGTGCGTGTTTATTCTTTGCTTATTAAGGCGAAAGGCTTATTTCTGTCTTCTTCTTTCTTTACTTTGTTCGTATTATCTTGTTTACTTTCGTAATTGCTTGTTTACTTCTTGTATGAACCCAGTTTACTTCCCCGTCCTACGTGTTTCGTTCAACCAATCCTGCAGCCAGCCAATAGGCCACGCCCTTTCCACCCAACTTAGGGTTGCAACGGGGTAGTCTACCTCAAGGTCAACGCTCTAACCTCATTGTGATTCCTCACAAGCGCCGAATCCACGCGCGGTACAAGCTGAGCTGTCTGGGGTCAGACCACAAAAACCAACTTCACATGACCTAGCAGGTTCATACGCCTTCAAACGCTGTCAATAAAACACGGAACATCATGCAGAGCGGTCCGAGGAGAGAAACTGGTGTATGTTAACGACACTGCACCAGCTGCAGAGGTTATTTATCGTGAAATGTTATAATAGAATAGTTATGCTATAATCGACAAACTTTAAATGATGAAAGCAGAAACCGTCGTGGCCTATTTCAATCCTCAGTTTGTTCTACGTGGAACTCTGTTAGAGACAAAGTTCTGGCGTTAGAGGAGACCGCGGAAGGCGGTCGCTGAAAATATTTCTTGTGTTGCACTCCGAGATATTTGTGCAGTGCGTAGAAAACACGGACACGTGATTAAGTTTGACAAATTGGAATCTTTGTTCACAGTGAGCCGACAGGTATATGAAATTCTGAATGCCGATTATCCAGGGTTAGTTACTTTGCGATCCTGATAAATTCGATTACGTAAGTCAGGTTCAGTTTGCTGAGTAAAGTTTCAGAGGAACTCAGCTAACCTAACCTACAAGATCACACGACGTCTGAACCCAAAAAATCATCATCGACATTTTTAGAGCCGTGAGCTAGTTTTATTTCCGTCGTTAGTCATTTGATCAGTCTGTTTTGTGAGATTTTAAAGGTTTCGCCGGCGGTGAGGTTGATAATGTTCTTCTCGGTTTTGGCGCCGTGTAGACTCGTCGGTAGATCCGACGAGTCTACACGGTGCCAAAAACCAGAAGAACAAAATCATGAGTTCGTTTTGTGTTGACAGACTCTGGGGAGATGTTGAAGAGTCCAAAATGCAGTACTACCGGGATTTCCTGAACGCCTTGACCAACGCGTCCCTGCATAACTTGAATGAGTTCGAGAAATTCCGAAATGACACGACTCTGGACAAGATAACAGACCTGGAAGATCTAGCGAGCAAGGTAAGAACAAGCCGTGATCCGGTAGTCAGATCCTCGTTTGGTTTTGAAATAAGAACAGATTTTTGATGATCACTGGCCAAGGCCACAGTCAGAAATTTCTTGTAACTTTGCAGGTACAGATTGATCTGAAGTACGACATCAGTTTCATGGATGAAAAGACACGCGTTAAATTTCGGCGGACGCTGACCGAGACTGGGCTCTGCTTCACCTGGGGATCCAGTGTGGGCCATCTCTTCACCTCCCGGTAATGAGAAATTCTCACCTACCAACTAACTGTCTGATGGAAAATGATTGATGCTTCGGATATTTAATGACACTGTTTCAATTACAAAATAAAATGTCATATAATACTAGGACAGTCATAAATTGCACGTATAATAACACGCAAGGATTTGGAAGAAATTGATAATGGCCAATCTAAACGGACTATTTTGCATACGCTGGAAGATAACGAGGAAACCTGCGATAAACCTAAGCGAGGATAACCTCTATTGGTAGACCGGGTGTTCTTGAATAAAAAATATTGAGAATTACCGCTACGGTAACCTTCGGTTATGGAAGAATCTTATCTTTGTTTTCCGTCCTTTCAGGAAAGCCTCGCCACCATCAGCGAGTGAAACATTGGTGACGTCATGTCGTTATGAAGATTTGCCGTGTGGAATTCGCGTCTCCAAACTGCTCAGTGACGTTAAGGTAGGACTTATTTTAATTATAATTGTTTGTTTAACGTTAAGAATGCATTATGTTGCCTTATACAGGACAATTTTAAAAACCGCAAGTCATTCACATTGTACAGAATCTTCATTTAAGGTCATCTGTCCCGCCCTCGTACATAATATTTATTGGGTTCTCGTTTAAAAAATCATCATGTACGTCTTTGGGACTGTTTCATACAGATAATTAGATCTTCTTCCTATCTTATTTGATGTTGCATATCATATCGAGTTGATTAAGTGTCGTTAAATACGATTATAACAGGAGATGTTGATCGGTCACGATGTCCAATCGCTGAAACATGCGCGTACTTGGAACTGCTGTCGTGTTTGGAAGAAGAAGCAATTGCTCGCGCGAAGCCAGACATCGCCTTCCTATGTCACCTTGGTGATCTATAGACCCTCTTGTGCAAAAACGCTAAATCCAATTATAAGAAGAGTTCTTGACATTCCCGTAATTAATCACTGCAATATTTTCTTTCACAATTAACATTTTAGTGCAACGTTTACATGATCGATATTGCAGTCTTCTGCTACAATCTCGCTTCACTTGTTTTAATAAAATCTCGAAAAATCTAATGCTTTCGCGACAGCTCATAGCGAGATAATGCAGTCCGACAAAAAACATACTTAATTTTGAAGAATCATCTCCTATCATCAGTCTGAAACCGTAGATGATAACTTTCCGGAGGAACGTACTGCTTCTATCTTCAGCCCTGAAGATAAAAGCTGTATGTTTCTCCTAGACGTACATATCTAGCCCAGAAAACTAAGACGGACATCTTCACCGCTGTGAGAACCTCAGATCTCATTCTGTTGAAATTAATTTACAACTTAGTGACTTAAATGATGGACAGATAAACCCTAGGTCACGTGAATCTGGACTTGGTTAAATTAATTAATTTAATGATTGGTTAATCAGCTGAACTGCAAATAATGGTAACAGAACACTTTTCGCGTTCTTCCGCAGTTTTACGTGCACTCTACAGACGATTTGCCTATTATCGGCACAAATAAGCCACACTTGGAGTTCCGGGGTTCTGAAAGCCAAGTATACGTACAGCACAAACAGATTGTGGCATCGCCGGAACTCCGGCGTCTGGACCCGGAGCAAAGAGGCTGTTTGTTCCGGGATGAAGTGAAAGCCCATCGCTCGTTATTCAGAACATCGAAACTTCCGATCTACACCCATAACCTCTGCAAGATGGCGTGCAGGCGGCGAATGGCTGAGAAGTTCTGTAACTGCATACCATTCTTCTACAGAACCCTGGGTTAGTATTTGATACTAGGATAATCCGATTTGCCTCTAAGCTTGGTTAAATTAGTTTAATTTCAGGTTCTCCTAGGATGCTGCGCCGTGTAGTCTGGTACAAATTGACCGATGTTTTAAAGACGCTTACTGCCTCCATCATCAGGTCGATAACCTGGATCGTCACACTGATGATGGAAGCAGCAGGATACGCACGTTGCTTTAGAAGATTAAGTTAATAATTTGTCACTGTTGCGTTTCTCAGGTGACGGGAATATCTGCAACGCGAAGGGAATGGCTTGTCTTTCCAGTTTTAAGCACAATCTGACTGAAGACGTGTACAAGAGGAAAGGACAGTGTTTCTGCTACCAGGAATGCGAGTCCACGGACTACGCAGTTGACAGCAAAAGCACATACGAACTGTAAGAAAATGCATTCACAAAGTCTCCCCTAGTGTTACGTCTTCGGCACTGCAGTTTCAGAGGGTGCAACTCCAACCTTTAAAGCCAGAAGCTAATCTACATTATATAGATTCAGTCCGTACCGCGAAGTAAACACAACATTTCACCATTACGAAGATCAACTGGTTAACGCTGTTTAAGGAGATAATCGCCTAACAAAATGGTTTTCTTCTGTCTGTCCGGTCCGATTAAATTTCACAGTATGATTCTTCACTAAAATCTGTAACAAAAATTTGTTTTTCGTTGTCATCGGGCGCCTATAAACCACACTTCGCACGATACTCAAAATCAAAATTTACCAAATTTTAAGAAAAGGAGACGTCTTATATAATACATAAGGAACATAAAATATCGATCTCTTTTCAGTCTATAATTATTATTTTTTAAAAAATTTAATATTGTATACATTTAACAAAATTAAAATAAAAGTAATTTGTGCATCTTTGTACTGTCCTTTTTGTGCTTTGCATGATACAATGGATAAGAAAGCAAATAATTTTATAAGATGCTTTATCGCTAATGCCATATTAATATACCAGCAGGCCAGCCTGAATTATTTAGCTGGATACTTTTGACCCGTGTATTCTGCCCACCCTTAAATTAGGAAGTATCACTTCTTTTAAACATTTGGAAAAAAAATTTGTCTGTTGTAGGGATTCAGACTACACATATTCCCGCGACTCCGTTCAGTTCTTCGTGGGAATTAAGATTTTTACGAAGACTCGTCTTAGGCGAGATATCATCTACAGCTTTGAAGACCTTCTAGGTAGGTTTGACCTATGGTCGTGATATCAAACCTCACAACTCACGTGCGAACGCCATGTTTGAATCGCATGAGGGTGTCTGAAAGTCAGTTTGTAAGACCTGTCTCTTAATTAAAGCAATTAACTGAGTCTTTGATACAGATAATACGACGCTGTATGATCTCGCAATAGTCCCGACGAACACCGGCACTTGGAGGTATGACTTCTGGGTTATTGCGTCGAAAGCCTACCAACGTTACAGGGATGCTTACTGACTCTATCACCATTGCGATCGCTAGACTACATGATGCGAAAACCCAGAAGAGCTATCTCCAGAATCGCCGCTGTGATAACCTGAAATCTTAGGCATTAATATTGTAGCTTTCTACGTCCTGATAACAAAAGTCTGTTGTTTTTCTTCGACTACTACTTTACTGCTGTAAATCTGTGACGTCATAGAAGTTATTACTTCATTTGTTCCCGGCACTGAAGAGACATCTGGAGGGACACAATTGATAAGTGTGCATAAAATATGAAAATGTTTCTGTACCCAATGCTATGAAAAAGTTTCAATACACAAATAACCAACAATTTATACAAACCACGTATCTTCTCTTTGCAGTGTCTTTTGGAGGCACTGTAACTTTGTTCCTTGGATGCAGTATTTTGAGTTCCGTTGAGTTACTCTATTACTTTACGCTGCGACTTGGTTGCGAGCTCTGGATGAAGTACCAAAAGAAGGGTAAAACGCATCCTCTACCTGAAGTGTCGCCGAAATGCAGTACGAGGTAGGGGTTTGACCACGTACATACGATAAGCCCAAAGAAACATATCTCATAAACACACGGAAATTTGAAAAAATTGTATAGCACCAATAAAGTTATGTGACTAAATAAAACTATGTATTTTAATTTTTGGTGTCAGTTTGTTTCCTCTGAATTCAAACTAAGGCCACTTCAAGGGAGTGGTAATACATCGTAATTTTCATATAATCCCCTGCACAATGAAATAAACCTAACCTAACATCTTCAGTGTAATGAAAAATCCTAAAATTCACCCAATTCTGGAGTCATATGGACGAGATTTAAGAAGTAAATTGTCTACTTGAAACGCAATTTCTCGTCCCTGCTATTCATCCAATATTTTCTCATCGGTTGCAATTTGAGCAGCGTAACTACATGTGTAACAAGTTCACTTTATGTACACCTTCTAGTTTCTCGGCAGATTTTGAACTGGACAAAACAGTTACGTCCACATCCTAACAGGAACGTACGCCTCGATTCAATTGCCAAAATCTCACCCGTGAAAATGAAGTGCAGAAATGATACTTGAAGAAAAGTACATAATCACAGCATGAAATCAGTTGAATAAATACAAGAAAGCAAATAAAAAGACAACAAATGCATGCACTGACCTTTGGTTGACCTGGATTCTGAGCTATTTCACCTGGTGTCATCAGGAGCTTCCTCTACCGGCTGCCATTAATCCAAAACCGACTCCATCCCCACCTTTCGACCTGTCGACTGTTGCTTGAGAAAGAGACAATCATGAGCACAGTCAGTGAAAGCACGAAAATCAACGATTCTCTACTACTTTATTGTTTAACCTTTCAAATAATGAATTTCAACAAAATTTCCTCCTTTTATTTTATATTTTAATGAACAAAAAGAAAAATCAAGGCACTAGCTGGAAATCGATCCGCAGCCGACGGCGTTGTTTCTCTGGGTTGTGATGCCACATAAAATCATAGATATCAATGTCTTGGAGAAACAAACTTCAGTCCTGAAATTCTCGTATCTACCTACGAGTCTACACGGTGTCACAACCCAGAACATCGTCTTCACCACCACGGGAATCTCGAATCCTGACCCACAGCCAAACACTTTACTAAATCAGCTACCCTGGGGGAACTCTTCATATTTTGAGCCTCCATCATCAGGACTGTGTCTGCGATGAACATCTTCTACTGTCCATTATACGCTGCATCCACTGACGAAGTTGAATGCAAGTCACTTCCCAGCCTCTGACCAGAACTGCATGATTCACCACCAAGTGCCACAAGGTTTTCAGAACACTCCATAAAACAATAAAATCAACTCATCTTAAATAGCAGTTCCTGCCGGAACCTTGGAAGCGACAGCAGCGATCAACTTTATCAGTGAACGCACTGTACTCGGCAAACGCAAGAGCCGACAATTTCCGTAGAAGACGAGGGACAAAACTGACCCGTCCAATACATAATTGGCATCATTTTTGACACAATTTATAACTCGACACTTACATGAAAGGTCATATACAAAAATAACATATTATTATAAAACACAATCACAAAGTTTACATTAAACTTAATGGTAACATCGTCTTAACCGAAGCTCAAAACCATAGAATTTGAGCGGAATAATAACTTTTATCTCACCATAACTATTTGTAACTATTAATTAAGTACTGAAGTAGAAAGTAAGAACTTGGAAAAACATATATATTAATATAAACGTAAATTAAGTGCAGTGGCGAACATGGCAGCAAGAAACACTAACAAAGCTACGGCGGTGCCTGTGGAGGGGCCTGCAATCAGGCAGTAAGTTTTGTGTCGCTGTGTTAAGCAAGAATCTAGTTTGAGTCACCACAAAAATATTTTAACGGTTCATTTACCCCAAAAGAAATTTTATAAATTTGTACTTTCAATGAGATTTGCAAAAAATAATGCTGCAATAAATTTTGTTACTGTCAAATCTGACGTATGACACATTAGTAGTACAAACTTTTATATAATGGTAAAAATTACTCTTACGTAAAATTACAAAACACAAAATATTCTAACACTGGTAGTATAATTGTTCTTGCTACCATTAAACCATGTGACAGGAACATTCGCTTTATATTAATCAACCATTTGGATTGTCTGAATGAACCATAGTTTTCGCCCTTCAGAAGTGATACGGACTAAACTTCCTCTCCTGCCTGTGGAACAAGCTTTGCCGCCAACATCTCTTTAACTTGTGATAAAATGGTTGCTTCATGTACACAGGTTCTCCGTAGTTGCCGTACATGACAACAGGTCTCCATGGCTCCACAATCTCGCCATATTTGTTATACGTGACGTCAGGTCTCCATTGGTCCACAATCTCGCCATATTTATTATACGTGACATCAGGTCTCCATTGGTCCACAATCTCGCCATAGTTGTTATATGCCACACCAAGGTCATGAGTACCAGAAAGAACATTCTCCTTGTTCAGAACTGACTCTGAAACTGTAACAAACATAAAACAAATAGGAATTGTTATTCCCGTTATTACTGCTCGTAACGACATAAAGAATTATTTGGCCACAAATATTATAAACTTACAATGAAAGATACTAAGTAGTCCGCAAATATATTCAGAAATAGTTCAGGAAAGTTTAAGCACATGGTATGACACTCACAAGAGTAAGACCTTAAAATTGGGGGGAGGGCCCCTCGACAGCTGCCCATTAGATAAAGCATCCACAGACACAGCGTTCTTAGAGCACTCGCTATACAGCCGTCCAATAAAACAGCTTAGGGTTAAAAGGAATGAGACACTTACGCCTCGGAAGCGTCCAGGGCTTCATCCTTTTCTTTCTTGGCGCGCGATTTTGACGTTTAGGCATCATTTGTGACAGTACTGCAGGCACCTTAAAATCGGTACTAGAGTCTGGCAAAGGCACGGACATAAGGGCAGGAGGCAAGGATTGGATCACAGTCTCAGTCTTCTCATTTTCACTATTCTTTACTGAATCCAGAACTCGGCTATGGAAATTTCCGGGCAGCGGGCAATTCCAGGACAAGGCTGAAAATAGTAACATTAATATCTGTCTATTTTCTAAGCATGTTGGATGGTGACCATCCATTGTTTTTAAGGGATTCTGGGCCTTATGTGATGATGTGCACTTATTATCAGTGTCACATTCCTTTGTAATTAATTTTTTTTCATACTAAACCCCGTACTCTTGTGTTATGCCTTCCACAAAATCTGACGGCAACCTTTTTCCATTCCTACAAATGGCTACCAAGAAATAACCTACAAGACTTAAGAAATATCTAAACACTGCTGAAAATTTACAGCATATTTTTTTTTTAAGAAACAAAAATAATTTCAAATAAGTTTTGTTCATATTTTGTTAAATTTTACATTTCTACCTACCTCTTGTACTCGACTGGTTACTCATTCAAAGCCAAAAGTAACACACCAGTAAAGTACACAAGTAATGTCGACTAATGTTGTAAAATATAACTCACCAATGTGTGTCAGAAGAAGATTTGTCATGTGCCTTACGGACAATGGGAGCCAGTGGATACCATCGTCTGCCCTCCTGAACGGTAAAGAACAAAGACCGTCACTGAAGAACTAGCCCCAAGCAGAATTATGGGCTACTTACAAACAAGCTGAATGAAGAAGAAAATAAAAAAGTGGTGTGTTATCTGTGTACTTTTTTTTTCACGTGGCTCTACAAACCGTTTTTACTGTACGTTGATTTTTCCACTGGCTGTAAACGTGTCCTAAATCAGTACATGCTGCAGGAATTTGGGCAATTTTGTAAATGTACAGAAAGAGTATCTTGAAAAGAATACAAAACAAGTAAAATAATTCAATGACGTGCCATAACGCAAATTCTGGGTCCTATTTTAACTGCTCTTTTACATAACATCCTTTAGTAAACATTTAAGCTCTGGAGATTCAGAATATACCTGTGAATTTGCATACGCAGGTGATGATGAATGTCTAAAACGTCAAAGCCATAGGACACTACGATTTGCCGAGCAAACACGTTTGCTTCCATTACTTCAAATCGGAGAGTATGCTGCAGGAACTCCACCTGCAGAATTGACATAACTCTTGAACTTACTTGATATACAAGGATAATTCAAGTTCTACACAGCTCACAGTATCATACAGCAGCTAAAACCAACGTGCTTCATCCATATCACCTTCAAGTCATCCTCTGTTAGTGTGTACTCACTACACGACATCGCAGCAGAGTTACCGCATCTAACAAATCAGGAAGTCACAATTGAGAGCACGACACGTTACTGAACAGTGCTCTTCATACAGAAAATTAAAACCACTAGATACTACATGAAACAGGGAATAAGTATTACAGTTCTGTTCAACTTCGTAAACAACATATGGGTGATCGGGACTCACTGCTCTGATAATGGAGGCAGCAAGGACCTCTGAAACAGTGCTACAACCCAGAAGACAACCATCTTCGTACTCAATTCCGCGAAAACCTCAAATCCTAATCAGTCCATATGTTATATTATTAACCTGTTTGATTAATAAAGATCCTGAACAAGATGTGGATATGGGCGGCGCTGTTGTCCATATCACGAGCGTTTCTGGGGGAAGACTCGTTTTCAATAGCTTCATCAGTTTAACCATGTTGTCTTTATATGCAGTAACTCCGTTTGGTCCCCATCTGTATAACAAATCACCAAAATCTGTATAACAGATCACTAATATGAACCGACTGTTTCGACGTGGCCTTCGCCAGCCAGGCAAGAATAAACGAAGCATACATCATCTCATATCTCAGTATAATCACTGGTATTAATCCTACAAATGACAGCACAAACTCCTAAAATGAAATATACAAATGGCTTCAGAAGATAAAACTCAAAATATTCAACTAATGGAAAATTAATTGAGTGTCTCTTTTGGGGCTGTCTTCACAGTTTTTAACTCATCAACTGTATCTTGTAGGTTAAGTATTCTTCAAGGGTTACAATGTACTAGCACTTTTACAGTGGACTTACCTGTCAAAGTATCATCAGTCACCAACTGTAAGGTTCATAAGAGGGACAAACTGGGTACAGGTGAAACCAAAAATATTATGGTCTAATTATGGCTGGAAAGTCTCAGTTTAACCTGGCTGTGAATATATCAAATTCAATTAGTCACAAGTGTGTTACACAGCTGCTATTAAAATACATACTGATCTAAGTAAAGTTACAATTAAAGGTGATATAAATAAATGATTAAATAAACATGCTAAAACAGGTGAAAAATTTAAAATGTGAGGTTAAGGACACTACCTCATGTATGTAGTACTTTGAGTGAATATGACTTCAGAGGGCAGTAGCAACACTGCCATATGATTTCAGTGGAAACATAACCTCCAAATTACCTGGCAAGTTTTTGATTTAAAACGTATTACTACTAATAAACCAAGTCACTACATCACATCATTATTTCATGCCCAAATTGATTATTCCAGCATTTATTCAGCATCAAACCCTTCTTGCAGAAATATGTTACCATAAATCATTATGTTTTCATCTTATGAACTCACACCACCGTCCATGCATTTGTTTCTATTCTGAATAAAATATGAAGATATGGTAACTTTAAGACAGAAGATCAATGTTAAGAAACACGGTTCTATTCTTTCTATAATCTATGAACACTTAAAACATTTAACTTTGTTTGACAGGTACCTAAGAGAAAATGGCAATTAAATGAGCAAGTGAGTACAAATGTCACATTACATGGTTGGCAATGATGACAAAAACAAACAAACCCCCATCATGTGTCATGTTTGGTAGTAAATGTGTTAAGTATCTAAAACAAAAACTTTGAAGACACCACGGCATAATTTTTAACATTAATCATATACCTAGTGATATCCCAAAGACACGAATTCATAATAATCACATCAGGGGCTGATCGTCCCTTCTTCTTTATGGCTGACATCATATCCTCAATGTTGTTGTTGTAGCATCTTGTAATGAAGAAGTACTCCATGCAAACATTGTCTTTCTACCTCAAATATACAAAAAACAAAAGTTAAACACCATCTTATTATTTTAAATAACCACTTACAATGAACAAAATGCTGTCTTTATCAAGTGCCGTCTATTCTCTGTTATCACCATAAATGTTACCGTCACTTCCAAACCGTAAGATAATTTTTCCTTGAAAAATGCTAACTAGAATTTCCTCACAACTTAACATCTGAAGGCACAGAGCAATACAAAATACAAAAAGGCTGAGATCTATTTAATAAAAAGTGGGTTTTCTCAAAATTGTCTCATGTCATCTCAGAGACAATAATCTGTGGTCAGATGAGCTGTGTTCCGAGACATGAAAAATCATCATCCAAGCAGTAAAATGTCTTCAACATTAGTCGCCATCAGCCCAGCTATTAAACAGCACTGATCATTTTGTCTTTGTCATATATTTTGTATAAATCTTCTTTGTTTTTATATTCTGTAAACTTTATAATATACATGGCAAATTATACAAAAAAAACATTGCACCAAGGTATCTGAGAGACCTTAGCACACTTGACACAAGATATCTCTGAGTTTCATCAACCATCATAAATTTACATGTAGATGGCCAGCCAGCCGAGGTTATGGGGAGGGGAGGGGAGCAATATCGCATGAGTCATCTAGCTCCCCCTTGCTCTTCCCTTCCCCTCTTACTGTGATAAACCTCAGGCTCACAGTACAGATATTTTACAATAGCCAACGTCATTCTTCCAGAATGTGACAAGTCCACGTGGCATCACATCCCAGAAAATCAACATTGACATCTTCAATGCTGTGAGAACCTCAAATCTTACATAGTTTAGTAATGACTTCAAAATATCTGTAACAAATTATCACAAACCTCATATTTTCTAACCTCTTCAAAATCTCTGCCCTTATGCAGCTCACTACTTTTCACCAATGTGTCACCCATAAAGGAGTTTCCCAGCTACAAAACAAAATACTGAAATTAATGATAATATTAAAATGGATTGGATCTCAAATAAACAGGGTAGGAGTATGTGTAATGGATTCATTTTAACTCAGGATAGGGACTGGCGGTAGGCTCTTGTAAATACAGTACCCAACCTTCGAGTTCCAAACAACTCAGGGAGTGTGAATAGCTAAGTGACTATTAGCTTATCAAGAAAATCATTCAATGTAAGTCACGCAAAGAATGCATTATAATATAATGTGTAATCAGCTACAATAACAAATAAACAATACTTACTTTCCTTTTCAAGACATTCCTTTCTATTAGGGAATTCTTGTTCATCAACCACACTAAGTCCTTATAAACACTTCTCATATCTGAAGAAAAATAAAAATTTGTTTTAGGCCACAAAAATTAGAAAATAAATAATTATCAGGGGGAAGCAAATAATAAAATAAATAAGTAGGAAACAGATAAGATATTTCTGAAAAGTGGCACTCTTATTTCAAAATCCTAGACTAAGACATGGTCACAATTCGGCCCTCAGACCTTCTAATACCCTAAATGTTCCTATGTTTCCAGAAGTTGTAAACATGACAACTATAACTTGATTCTCAGTGACAGAAACGAAGTTCCCCACAAACTGATCTGGATTAATTTTGCATGGTCTGTTCCAAAGATAATTGTTCACACTGTAACAATGTTTGAGACATATCCATCACAAACATTAAGTACTCTACATATGATCATACTATGATAATATATATGACAGGATTAAGATTTAACTTACTTGAATCACCAAAAAAGACGGCATGTCTTTTCTCCAGTAAATTCAAAGCATCCTTCTTCAGATATATGTCAGACATGTGTAGAGCTTATTATTTATTTATGACTTTTGCCTATAAAACAAACGGTTTAAAACACACTTAATCTAAAGCAAGAACACAATAAAAATACTACCTGGTAACATAGTTTTTGATAATCCATATCAAATTGAGCACGCAAATCCACTACCTACTAAAAATATGTAATTATATAAGATAACTAGTAAATTGCTTATCAAGCATAATTTTTACGCAGTTTCTGTTCTCCCACTATAATTACATTATTATCCTTCTGGAAGTCCTTAGTTAGTGTTCTGTGTTTAACTGCCTTCGAAATATTACAAAATAACAGAAACCTTACCAATTCAGCTCTCAATAACACCGACATTCCATCAAAAACTTGCCATAGCAAATCCTCTCCGAAATACGTCTTTTGAAATTATCTGCGGTCACTGCAACCTGCTGTTCTGGGTACGTTCATCATTGAACCTTTGGTATAAACTACGGTCATTATTGTCATCACCCAGTCGGCATAGATAAGTCGTCAGGTAATGGGTATGGGGCCATGTGGCAGTGGTCTTAAACAAGTTTGTGTGCTATAATTTGTTTTGATTTTCTGTTGGTTTACATTCTTTTTTTTTTATGAAGTTTCCGTTTTGATAGATAGTTTGGTAAAAATTTGTTAATGGTGTACGTTCATACATGCGTAATTATATATATTGCAAGATGGTTGAACATAGTTCCGGTAGCTCGTGGCCCTTCCACTATCACTGATGCTAATATGTTCTTATACCAGTGGGAATCAAAATTTGTGATGTCATTATTTTTAAAGTGATATCAGACAATACATTTATGAAAAATATTGCCACTATTATACGTTGCTACTTAATGCATAAATCTCGCATTCGGTTGTTTTTGGTTTGATGAACTTGTTGACCATGGCCACAAATTATCACTGAAACCTAATTCTAAATACTTTTTTCATTGCTCACCTGTGTTGCATTTTTCATAGCATGAAGAATATGAGACCAAGAGAAGTTGCACCTATATCATAAAACATCTCTATAGCTGTTGTACTGATGCCCTCATTCTTGAATTCTGTCTTTTATATTAACATAACATTGAAATGAAAGGGAGAAAGTCCAGACTGACCTTAACTTCTAAGTTGTCTGAAATATAGTGAAAAGCAAAATTTAAATCTCCAGAACATTTTTATTCTATATTTGTGTTACCATTTGCTGAATTTTACAACTGTATCTTGTTAAGTATCAATGCCTTTAATAAAGAACCTCTGAAACCAAAAATGATAATTACTATATTTTATTCAGGCATCAGTCATATGAAATCTGGGAATTTAGAACCCCATACTACAGGGCTGCCAACCAGACCATCTGTGGAGTTTGCAGTATGCTACAACACACAAAATGGACCATGCACATTCCATGACAAACAGCTAATGAATGTTAAATTACTCTGGCCAAAGCCAGTCTTTGAAATGGGGGACTGACATGCCTCAATCAATGTGACTGCACAGTCAACCAGGACCTAGGTTTCTGGTAGGGCTACACCCTTGATGATAACATTGAAAGGAGCCAGACTACAACTGTTGCCAGGTATGTGGAGGTTATGTGGCAATTTCACCAACAGACTTGTGCTATAAGATAATAACCCACACATCTTAAACTGTCATTATTAACACATTCACTGCCAAAATCAGGGGTCTCCATTTATTGGATAAGCCTTCAAGCCTAGATTTAGCACACCATTTCTACAACCCTGGGTTTAACAAAGTTCCAATAAATACAACAAGAATTTAATGAAGGAGTTTAACAGTGGATAACACTAGTAGCACTGTCGTCAAACACTAAAAATCTGAATAGTATCTGTGACAATTACTGACTGTCGCTGCAAAGTGACTAGCAGTTGTACGAAAGAAGGCAGCAGGGTACAAAGTGTGAGACAATTAAGTGAGAGATGCATGTATCATAAAATAATACATATGACGATATTTAATTTATTATTAAAATTACATTTATTCTAAATCTAGAGTGAATGTTTATTGTACATATACACAACAAAATTACAATATGATCTACACATATTAAATCCTATTTCGTCTTCCTCATACAACCATATCTTACAATAAGATACAGTAAACATTCATTATATCACAGTACTGTTAAGAGATGATTTTGATCTCCGTAACCAATTTCTTTCAGTCATTTTAAATACCTGCAACAAAAAGACTATTTGTGAGATAAAAGCTCAAAGCATGAGTTGTCTACATGCAATGCATTTGACATCAACAAATTTCCACGCTCATTTACTAAAAACAAATTCAAGCAATTGATTAGATACATGTACCAAAGAAAAGCCCAAACTTTAGTCTCAAAAGCTACTGGCGTTATTGACCGTATTGACACAGCCATCTCAAAAGCTATGCAAGTATAATTCATGTACTTCAAAAATTATTTATGAGATATAAGCAAAAAGCAGCGTCCCGCGCCATAGCCGCGTGGTCTGAGGCATCATGCTTCAGACCGGCGATACGGAATGCGCGTTGGTTCGAGTCTCGGGGGAGAAGAAATTTTCTCATGAGCTTTCGACCAGTGTATGGGACCGGTGCCAACCCAGCATCGTGAGGAAATTTGGAAGCTACAATGGGTAGCGTAATCCGGTCAGGAAAGCTAGCAATGGCTGCGGGTTCGTCGTGCTGACCACACATCTGGTTGGATGATCATTCATCTCTGCTTAGGCATGTGAACGTGAGGCCAGCAGTCAAGCTAGTCGGCTTTGGCTCTCTGGAGCTGTTACGCCACGGATTTAATTTTTTAAGCAAAAAGCAGCAATGTCATCAAACATTTTTAGATGTTTGTTTATTTTATTTAAAAAATATTGTATACATGGCAAATAACTTACAGAGTAGGTGACTAACTTATAGCTTCCGAAGAGGGACTCTAATTCACAGTGGGAATTTTAATTCAGTGAAAGAATCTCTATCACCATTTCTTGCCATCAGCACCTATTTGTAGCTTTTCACAGGAACTATACCAACGTAGGAAGGTTTTTAAAATGAAATTCCTCTTACCTGCACATGAGGATAAATGCTTCTCTATTTGTGGTATTGGTATTTCTAAAACTTGATTTCATTTCATAACAATAAAAGGGTTACTGGCTTTGTACGTTTGAGCCATAAACTTACTTTGCAGCCCAATCTATGCGCCCATGTGCACCACCACTGTGCTTTGGCCCAATAGCTGGCCCTGCAAATAATGTATTCGACTGAAGAGACATAGACACATGGGGACTCTTCACTTCTGAACCTGAAACACAAGCAACAAGGGTGGAAACAACACAATAACTCCACACGTATGTGCAAAGAACAGACATTCTTTAAGACAGCTGCTTGAAATGTTAATAGTTACACCAAAAAATATAATATATAAAATACGTAACCGCATGTCACAGCCCACAACCATGCATTTTTTTTTAATCGACATACACAACCAGTAGTGTCAACATCAACAACATCAAGTTCCAGCTACCGTGAATATGTTTCCGTTTTTCATTTGAAGCAGCGGTGCGTGTTAAAACGTCAGGATGTATATCCAAGAAACTGTTGTAGTCTTTGTACAATGAATCATGTCAAGTTCCACGCCACGGCAAAGGAATCTATCACCCCAGAAAGTAAATTAGCTGCTTAAAATGCTTCATAACCATTTGTCACACACTTCCTCTGATACCCACACCTACTTCACTCACCTACATCTACAGACCCGTATGTCATAGCATTTGCATTTGAGTTGCGGAGTGGTAACTTGGTGCTCTGTCCCGCAATGTATCGCGAACGAGTGAGGTAATGTTGCTTTGCTGTCATCGAACCCCCTGTGTCTACAACACCACCATAGTTTCCCTGCTGGCTCCATAAGGATGGTGAGTAATCTCGTGTTGACAGGATATGTTCATTGGCAGACTGACGTACTGCCCCATCCCTGCTTCTGGTACAAACAGGAGTGAAAAGATGAACACTTGATCCATATTAAATAGCTATAATGAGCTAAATTAAATAAAAAATACTATAGAAATATTGGACAACTAACCCATTATTAATGTTTGTACTTTGACCGGCCACATACCGGGCCACTGTGAGGTAATGCTGCTTGGCACTCAGTTTCCTTCTCAATTGCTGCTGCGATGTGTGTGACTGTGCTGACGGCTGATGCTGGTATGAAGCATGCCGTGCTGGTCGATTTTCCTTGTGGGTCCAATCCTTTACACCTTTTGATTTTGGTTCTGGAGGAAGAATTCTTCCACTGTAAACAAATTTTCATATCTTAATCTATTGGGTAGACCAACCCTTATTGTAAGGCAGTAACAGTAGTGTCACAAAAGTGATTTCTTTGGACACTGTCCACTGTTTTGATAAAAAGGGATACTTTACCTCAGGGTCTGGTTCTCTTGTCTCTTAAGTTAGCTTAACTTAATTTGGGTTTCGTTAGGTTGCGTTGCGTCTCATCTCTTCTCTGCTGTTATCTTTGCTTCACTTCTGTTTTCTTCAACTTTGCCTTCCCGCTTCAATTCTTCCAAGCTCATTTTTTTTCCAATTTATACACTCCCCTTCTCTCCTCTGCCCAACAATCTTGACCCATCTTCTCTCGTCTCCTAATTACCTATCACAACCTAACCTAACCTAACCTAACCTAGGTTAACCGCTAGGGCTGTTTATGCACAAATATTTAGGTTCAGTTCATTTAATAACCACCGCCAAGTCCCGCCATTTGCAACTGCAACTGAATCCCCTCCTTTACATTGCATGATAGCAGTTCTCCAGCCACTAAGTTACAGTGTGATCATTCAGTGTGTAAATAAAACACAAGAATCATTACCACTTATGACAAAATTATAAAAGAAATGCCAGTCTTATGACAACCAATCTCACGAAGATGGGAGTAGAGCCAGAACATTGCATATATCAAATATACCTCAGGCAATGTCCACCATGGTATTCTTATAACAAATTAACAAACCTTTGTAAAGTCAATTAATTTAAAAATCTCAAACAAAAATGCTTACCCAAGAATATCAGAAAACTCATCATGATTATCATCCCACTTGCTGCTTGGCTGAACGTCCTTTCTCTGACTATAACTTAGTAGTGACTGCTGTTGATGAATGTTGCTCTGAGGCTGTGATATGATTCCACTGCCTTTGTTATGTCCTGAGCTTCAAACTGTACATGAGATTCGGGTTATGAAGGTGACCAATACTGTGAGACAGCGTGGCGTTGGTTTTATTTGTCCTTCCTGCAGTACTGTCTTGTTGAGAGAATGTGTACACGAGAGCAGAGGGCTGATGGCGGTGACTAAAACTGTTAGTGAGAGCAACGTTGCTCCTCGTTCTACTCAAAGCGTCTTGCTGTTGAATCAAATTTCCAAGCTTCTGACCCACTTGAAAGTATGGGTACCTGAAAAAAAAATACACAGGTTACATAATAATCAATAAGATTTGGCAAGATGTGGTTTCCACTTCTTTGTAAACATAACTTCAAAGGATCAAGTCGACACTATGCTGATACATTTCAACAAAGAATGCCTTCCAAATTTTGTATAGAAATCAGTAGTCGGAAGGTTTTAAAACAATTTCAATATATTCAGATAAACTTCAGCTTCAAAGGGTTAAATTATGAGAAATATTTGTCTTATATTTGAGTAAATACAATATAAGTAAAAATATTAAATTAAATCAAATAAAAATACTTGGTTATATCCCAACAATAGGCTACAATTCTCAGTGTCAAAACATGTGTCCTACCTGAGGGACTGCTGAGCTGTAGGCCTCTTGCTTGGATTCCAACGTAGCATGTCTTCGATCAATAAAATGGCATCTTTACTTGCATTAGGAATGACAGAGCTAAGTGGGGTAGGAGAAAACTGAGGGAACTTGAAGTTCATTGCACTGGCAAGATGATAACCTTCTGGCCAGTCTCTCTGAAACACAAACCTCCGTGAAGATGACCGTATTCCGAGACATCACACCATGAAGTCTGATAGATGACTGACATTATACAGGTGCTTAGTGCCTCCACCATCAGGGTGGTATACTAACGGAACTTTGTAAGTATAATGCGCGTATTCATAGATCTAAGATTAAACAGTCACAAACAACAAAAGTAAAATTTCTATTAAGTATTAAAGAGTGAACATAAAGGGATGACATTTAAAATTAAGATATTAAGCAAGATCTGAAAGTATTAAAAGTTTATTAAATTAGGGTGTACATTTGTAGTATAGACAAGCTCTTATTCCCGATTACTTAAGATAAGTAACATCACATCAGTGCCTGATGATGGAAGCATAGTCTCCATGATAACGAAAATTCATAACATACTAACACTGTGCAAAAAAGACTTTGGAGCAGAGTTGCCAAAACTTCAAATTTTATATATGCTACTTTACTTATAATAAAGCTTTAATTAAATTAATTCACGATTAAAGCTTCAAATCATAAGATACAAATTTGTAACTCCGCAATGAAGTCCTGTCAGGTGATCAGCTATGTAGTACAAAATTACAATCCGATGTTTCGTAAACGGGGATGGTCGCCAAGACGCGGCCGATCACGCGAGAAGACTTCACTGCATTCAACTGCCATCAAAGCTCCAAACCTTATCAATGTGCAACTCTGATTATACTGAAGTAATCAATAAACAGTAACCTTGTCTGGAGTTCCAAGAACTGAGCATATTTTAAATATTTCATCTATTTCACTGTTTCCAGGGAAGAGGGGGCGAAAAGTGTAAAGTTCAGCCATAATACAGCCAACAGCCCATATATCAATCGGGCTGCTGTACACTGTTGAGTGAAGCAACACCTCGGGGGCACGATACCTACGAACAAAACACATCAACGCACATGCTCACTTACACCGACAGCAAATAACATGTAAAGTTTCTTAAGCAAGAATTGGTGATCCTGTTTATCACATAAAATGGACTAAACAGTGTTAAAAGATTCTTTAGCCATGTGAACATATATGCAGTGCTTAATGCAGAAAGACAAAGGAATTCTTTTAATTTAACAGAGAATAGCCTGTGCAAATATTTATTGCTTTCTGTTCGTATAATTTGGTTCTACACTGTGCATCGAGGAATTTACCTGAGAATGAACATTTCTGTAAAAAAAAATGTGAAAGAATTAATCCTGACTGTTGATAAAATATGTAAATACACTTTAATGCACCACTGAAAGGAAAGGAAGGAAAGAATGAAAGGAAACTAGAAACGGCAGTTGCTCAGTACGTGTAATGTATTCACGAAGCTTGAATTTCTGGCACATGATTTTCACCATACATACAGGGTACATGTACTGCATAATATTTGTATCTAAACGTTCCTGTGTTAATCAGAAACACTGCTAAAGAAGTGTCTGCATTTTGATGAAAAAATGAGGTTATGTGATGTGTGGGCCTAACATTTATAAAATGGGGTATTTACCCAAAAGCAATACAGTCAGAGTTTAAAGCTGCCCTTTCACCTCCACCTAGTACTATGGTCACAACAGAACTATACCCCCACAGGTAAAACTTTGCCTGTTCAATCCAGTATTACCGTCACATGACATACCTACCGCTGTACATTGTGACTATATAAATCAAAGAACTTGGATGAGTTATGAAGTCACCAATCTCTAGTGGATTGATTTACATTCTTAATTATAAGAATTTGATGATTATAAGTATATTTTTATAATGTCAAAACATGCATACACACGACTTACCCATTTCTCCCTCCCCCCCCTCCAAACCCAAAGAAGGTAGCAAAACGTAAATAACCAAAAATACGAGCATAATTGTAAATATGTAAAAATGAAAAATACATCTTTGGAGTCTACAGAATTTTATGTAAACTTGATGATGAAATCAGACATTTGAAAGAGTTATGTCATCACGGAATATGCTCTCACCATCGTGTAGAAACGTAGTCAGTGTATGGTGGTCGGGACCTGATCTCCCTTGCAAGTCCAAAGTCTGCAATTTTAATTAGCTCTGGTCCCATACAAAGCAAATTCTCTGGTTTCATATCACGGTGAAAGAAACCGTGACGATGCATGAAAGCCAAGCCTTGAAGGACCTGATACATCATGTTGCGTATGATAGGTTCAGGAAAGTATTTTTCTCTGTAAGAATAATGCATATCAGATTATAAATATTAAGAACCTCATATATTAAAATTAACAATTCAATCAATAAATTAAAATTCCTCTCAAACACTATAAATTTATATGAATGAAGATTGTGGTGAGTGTAATAAACCAATCCTCACTTAAAAAAATATGATCCATTACCTACGTCACAAAAAAACCTGTCACCGCTTCATTAACTTTTAAAAAAAAATTAAGATCATTTAACAGAAAGTTAACAAAAAAACTGGTACTGCACATTTGAACAGAGCAACAAAGAATTACACTGAATGTGTATATACCGGCAGCCCCTCTTCAATTAAAAGAAATATGGTCCCAGTAACACAGATCATACCTGTCTTTCATCAGCTGATAAAGATTTTCCTTCATATATTCAAAAACAAAGTATAGTGTGTCATTTTCTCTAATGACCTCCTTCAACTTTACAACATTTGCATGGCTCAGTTTCTTCAGCGACTGAAATTTTCATCAGAGAAAAAAATAGTTACAAGTATCCATAAAAAGTAAGAGCAGAACAATTACGTAACATCAACAAGAAATAAGAACGTAGCGTTCAGAGTTTAAAATATATTCCAAGCAAAACTCTTTACCTTTACTTCTCGTAAATTCATCGCTTCATCCCAAGAATAATACTTTCGTTTCATCCTGAAATTAAGTCCTGAATTAAGTCAATATCAACAAAGTATAAACACGCAATGAAATAGTTCAGTCAATAAAAGAAATGGGATAGGAACAAAGCCCTAGAGACCATCCAATGAATAACAAAGGTTGCTTTCTCATGGACAGAAGATACTGACCACTCATCTAAATAAAATGTCAACATGGCACTGTAAATTACTTTATGCATCGACAGCTGCTAAACAACAGAGCAATGGTAGACACAGATCACTTACAATTATGCATTAAACAGTTGTCAAACAGCGAAACATCAGTAGACAAGGAATCAGAACAGATATAGAAAAATGGATAAAAACTTCACAGACTTAAATAAACCTGTTTATGTTAAAATTACCAGGAACACATACCTTTTAATTGCAACTTTCTCACCAGTATCAACTCTCTGTCCCAGGACCACTGACCCATATGTACCATCTCCTAACTGGTTGAGTGTGATGTACCGATTCATCTTCATTGGGTCCGAAGTAACTCATATACATGTGTTAAACCGGAGAAAAACTCAATGAACACTACAGACACCTAGATCAAGATGACACAAACTATTAAACAGTCATTACAATAATAGCTTGTATGGTGAAGGGATTACAATTTTCTAAAAAGCACATTCAGCAAAACGCCATTTTGTAAATGTAATAACACGAAAAACAGGTCCTGGAAAAAAGTTTTCATTTTCCTTATTAACATGCTCATCCCATATCTCATAAGTCTGAGCTACTCTTATGTTGACACTGTTGAAGCAAGGAATTAGAAAGTTCCATGTTCACTATGAGTTACACCAAAATTGGTCAATTACTGTCTACAGTATGACTTCTGTAGTAAAATAAAGAAATAAACAAGGAAATATTCTTCTTGCTTCTGATGTCCTAAAGAAATGATTTTGTTTCAGAACTCTAAATACTTTGATACAGTAGAATAATATTCTCCAAAGAGAAAGTTCCTTCTTTTGTTATCCTAAAAATGTAAATTACTTTCACCAGGAAAAAAGAAATGAACTGTTAAGAGAAAGTGGTTTTGCTAAATTTCAGTGTTTAAGCACACACAGATTTGAAAACAAGTTGTGTTCAAAACCAATTAAGAAATTAATCTGTCCATAAATCCAAAACAGCCCCATGATGTAATAAACATCTTGGACCAATCAAAATTTGCTCAGGTTTTCTCCAAATATCTTGAATAATTTTCTTCCCATGATAAATTATTTAAATTAGCTTCCATAGTAAAGAATTTGTTAAACTTGGTTTCACACATTCATCAGTAGCTTAAAGGTGACTTCCAATTTAATAGAAATAATTATTATTAGTGACAGATATTAACGTTTTTATAACTGTTAACATCCATCCAACACTAAATATTATGTAACACAGGCAAAATATCGTAATTATTTGTATTTCAAATCAATATATTTGAAATTTAAGATAATATTTTAATGTAAATGACATAAAAGTAATATTTGAATGGTAAAATCAAATTTGTAAAGCAAACCATCTACTGACAGTCATGGCTGGTAAATATGACAGAGAACACTTTCAATTACTTACCATTTGTTTACATTCAATAATAAGACTTATTACACACAATTTTCACCAGTCAAAAGTGTCTTTGGTGTTTTGACACACATCACAAGTACATTTTAACCGTTCCACATGATGCACTTCTAATTTAAACTGAAGATGGATTTGTATGTGTGTGTGTTTGTGCACTACCAGCATTTCCTGAACACTGTGGCCACAGCACACCTGCAAAGTTTAATATTGATTTTCTAGTTGCCTCCAACTCAAGGACAGGAGATAGGGTGGTAGCTTTATGCAATAAGATACACGCTAAACAATTCAGTAGTTGCTATGCATGCAACCATAACAGCTCCCTAGCAACCATATAATGGGCCTTTATAAAGCAAGAAGTGACCTAAGTCAATTTGTTGTTGGTTGCCATTCACTGATTCCTGAAGCATTTATTTATTGATTTGGTAATGTAAGCAACAAAGCATTACATCAAACAACACATAAGAGTTTTGTAAAACACAACTTATAAAACTGAATATAATTATAAAAAGCTAATATAAAGAATTCTGACAATAACTCCAAAGGGTTCTTATGCCATTCTCTCTTTTTATGAATAATGCATCACTGGTTGAAACACTCTATTGACCAGTGAATATTAATGAGAGGAAATTTGCATACTTGCGTGCTGCCGAGAATGTGAAGAGGAACAGAAGCCAGGGCAATTTTCAGACTGCTGTGCTATATGTATGAAATATTTTATAGAACCACATTGAGAAAATTCCAAAACTTCCATTTTTATAAACATAAATTTTAACTACACAGCACTTTTATTCATCTGCCAGGAGGGTGAGAGTTCTCACCCTGTGTGTTACAAATTAAAAATATTTCCATAAATCCAAAACTCGATTAATGACATGTTGCACAACCAAAAATATTTTTTTCTCCAATAGCATTCTTTAGCTCATAATATGGAGATTATTCTGAAATAACACGTCTTACACTATTTATCAATCATAATCATCCTCATATCATCATGATGCTTTTTAACATAAGCAGTTCATAAGGTATCATTAATTACTGATAATATATCCCACCTATTCTTTTACTATAGCAGAAGGGCTTCTGCTATCAATTCAACTTTAAAATGACATAGCACATTTCTATTCAATCTTAATTAACTTTGAAAAATCCTAGAATCAGAAACATGCTTTTTAATAGTAAAGATATTTTGTAACTATGCAGCTAGGGCTAGGAAATGCAGAAGCTTACACAGTAATCACTCATAATGGATAGGCTGTGTCATGATACCAAATATACTCAGTGTAGGACAACATTCACCTGCTTATTAATTCACTGAATCAAACTTGTATAAAGTACAGATGTTATGGAGCATTAAATGAGAGAGTAAAATATAACGAATGACAAACTGAGAAGCAATAAGCCTAATCCAAGGCTCTATATGCCTAGAAGAATTTAGGAAAATTTAAAAACCAGCTTCAGTCAGTATAGTATCAGTTCACTTGGTGACTTCATTCCATAATCATGATTCTAGATTGGCTTACTGTTGCAGAAGAATTATTCACCAATCAAGAAGCATTCTGTTCACCTGCGTTTCATCCATCATTACATAAGCATGCCGCTCATACTGTTATGTGACAGGGAAACATTATTTTGAGCAGTACTACTCAGCACAAATAATACCAACAAGATACTGATTACAGTATGAAGAGAGTGTACTAAACTAACCACCTTCTTTACAACCCCTGCCAAGATAAATGACATGAATTATACCTACACATTACTAACTTTAATGTCAATTACTTTTAGGTTAGGTACAGACAGTTTCAAATGCAAGACAAGAAAAGAAACGTCTACCTTAATTACAGAAAACAAAGAGTACAAATTAAATATCCTAATTCAAACCCCCAATCAACAACTCTCAATCCACGTCTATACTACTCGCCGATGATATTAGAATTATTAATCATCATTCTTGAAAGTGACTACTTACATAAGTATTTGGCTAATGATATTGATCTGTAGCATTAAATAAATAAAACACTGAAATTGCAGTTCTGTATCTTACCTTTGAAATACTGCAGCCACAGATTAACACAGATGCAAAACTACAATTCTATTAAAGACGCAGATGCTGCACCCTGTGAGTGATTCACAAGTAAACATAACGACGTGACACTAGCCCAGCTGGCAAGAAGGTAACTACTCTTTAACCTTCACAACTTCAAACCCTATCGTTAAGATTTCGTAAAATCGTATTGTAAACATTGTAATGATAAAGTTCAAACAAGTCCAAGTTGGCAGACACATTCCAAATATGTAGAAAATATAAAAACTATTTCCACTATGTAGCCGTGTCCAGTGCATATTAGGATAATGCAATCATAAAACAAAGTCAGAGAAGTTTTCCATCCACCTATACATTTTCATTCCCTGCATTCACGTTGTTGGACTAAAAAAGAAATGTGCAAAAGAACACCTCTAACTAGTCAGTCAGCATACCAAAGTCTGTGGTCAATGTTTCATTAAGGGTACTAATATAAAAAAATTAAAATATATATATATAAACCTATTTATTTATAAAATGTATTTAATCACAACATAAGAGTAAATTACACATTCTCTTGAATAAATTAAGAACATATATGTGAAATTACTGAAGGCGCAATAAGTGATGTTTAAGATGTGCTTACTGCCTCTGAAACACATCAATTTCTACCATGCTACATGCCTCAGCATCCCAAAACAGCAGTCTTCATACCTGACACCATGGGAACCTGAAATCTTGTTAAAAACATGTAATCATCCTCCAATGCAAGATCAGTAATCCCACTGTCTTATCCTCAAATCAAGGCTAATAAAACACAATCAGCAGATATACAGTCAACAGCTGCTATGGTTATTCTATCATAACACAAAATATTACATTCAATATAAAAAATTCACATCAGAAGTATTAACCCACAGTCTACGAGAGAGATTAATTAATTATGTGTTCCCGTAGAAACAGTTGCTCACAAACAGGAAGTGAAAAAATATATCACAAACTGTACTTGGTACAACATATACTAATATTGATTGCTGACTCCGCAAACAATTTTATAATTAAAAGTCAGCATCTAATGTAAAAATATTATCTTCTTTGTTAGCCATCACTCCACACTTCTGGTACTCTCCAACTTTCTTCTCAAAAAAGTTTGTCTTCCCTTCTAGAGAAATGAGTTCCATGAAGTCAAAAGGGTTCTCAGAATTGAAAATCTGAAACAATCAAGTTGTATGTTCCATAAATACACAGGGATAGCGAGCGGAGTAAAGCAGAACCCCATCTCGTCAAAATTCAAATCCCGCACCTTGCAACAGGATTAGTTTATTAACACGCAATGATTAGCTGAAAACAAAAAATAATCCAAGTTCTCCTTAAACCGGGTAAATATAACATGAATAATAGATTCTGCAACCAAAGTGACAAATTACGACTGCTCACAAAATGGATGCATTCTTCATATATCATTGGATTCAAAAAAAGGGTTTACCTTTCTGCAGTTTAGTTCGACAAGCAGACGGTCGGCCACAAACTCGATGTACTGCTTCATAAGGTTGCAATTCATGCCAATCATGGCAACGGGCAAAGCCTCCGTCAAGAACTCCTGCTCTATTGCGACAGCATCCCTTATGATGGCCGTCACTTCCTCTTCCGTCGGCTTCTGCACCAAGTGCTTAAACATCAGGCAAGCAAAGTCACAATGTAGACCCTGGAACAAATCAATTAACACCACTGGAGTATTTTTACCTACATTTCAGCCACACCCACATTAACCATCCTACATACAGAACAAGCGATCTGACCTCGTCTCGTGAAATAAGTTCATTGCTGAAGGTGAGACCGGGCATAAGTCCCCGCTTCTTTAACCAGAAGATAGCAGCAAAACTTCCAGAGAAGAAGATACCTTCCACTGCAGCAAACGCAACCACTCTCTCACCAAACGTCGCAGTTTCGTGCGCTATCCACTGAAGGGCCCAATCTGCCTTCTTTTTCACACACGGCATCGTCTCAACGGCGTTAAATAAGTAGTCCCTATATGCAGAAATTTACTATTTCAAAACAAGAATAAATAACAATAAAAATTACAAAGGACTAAACACTTTCAGGTGTATCCTCTGCGTTTTCGATTTGAACCACAGCTGCCTGGTGTTTGGACGGTTCTTATACCTGATATAATTTTAAATGAGATCACTGCTACTCTTTACGACGTTAAAACAGGAAGCACGCTTAATTTCTCTTCTAATATACGCCATGTTACAAAAGGAAAAACATTAAACATGGATAAACCATAATCATTAGAGCTACTGTTTTATGAGGCATGAATCAGAGCTACAGAAAATCAAAACCATGCACCACCTCACAATGCTCGATGTTTAAAACTTCAAATTCCCCTGAAAATATGGGTTAAAGCATCAATTCTCATAACCACAATGCACATCAGAAAAAAATCTTGTAAATAAATTATTTATTTGTACACATCACGTCACCTCATTAACACAGTTTAAGGAAATAACTGCTGTTTATTTTGAAAATCATATAAAACCAGTAAATAAAAGATGAAGTGTTACAGACTGTAGTTACACTCAGCTTTGAAGGGTTAAATAGTGCATACCTCTGTGAAGGATCCCTTATGTAGGTATCAATCAACAAGCTATACATTTCTGAATGGACATTTTCCATCGCTATCTGAAAGCCATAGAAGCATCTTGCTTCTGTTACTTGTACTTCCTGGCTGAATCTCTCTACCAAATTCTCATTAACAATTCCATCTGAAGCTGCAAAAAATGCTAGTACATGGGAGATAAAATGTCTTTCATCTTCTGTCAGCATGTTCCAATGTGCCATGTCCTGAAACAAAAATAAAGAACTGTATTTTAAAATTATGAACATTTATAACTAAAGTAGAAAATTCAGGATGGCCCTCCTTACCAAGTATGAAAAACTCGTGCTGGCACCTAAAATATAAGTCGATCATAAATGACTCTATCTCACCTGGAATATAGGTTAGGGCATGATGCAAACCTTAATAATCACACTTAAGCACACTACACACACAATACTACCAACTCTTCTGGAATTACCATGAGAACCTCAATATCTTACATCCAGAGAAAAATACTGAAAATACTTGAAATATTGTGCAATATACCTTGGATAAATCCACTTCTTCCGCAGTCCAAAACGAAGCTTCTGCCTTCTTGTACATTTGCCATATGTCGTGATATTGGATGGGGAAGATTACAAATCGTCTTGGGTTCTCTCTTAGTAGGGGTTCCAATCCTATGTCAAATTTCTTGGCAGGCAAACTTTCCTTAATTTCCTATAATGTATTAACCACATAATTAAATATTTACACTATAGATCTAACCTTACAACGGTTTCAGGCAGTAGTCCTACAACTAATACTTACGATTTCATGGCTGTTGGTAATGATATTACAAGAAGTGCTGTCCTGCAACACTTTCGTAACCTTCGTATTGGTCGTACGTTGATTCCCCTGCAAGATAATATGTCGCTAAGTCACTCCTGCCGAAAGCAGCCATACATTCATTACGACTAATATTTTCGTTCGCATGCATTACGACGATGGCCTTGCTTACTTTGTTCATTAGACTTAAAAATTGTATTCACATACTTAAATACACAAGACAACGAAAGCTGCTGGTTTCAAATTGAGCACAAGTATGTAATTTCATCACAATCTTATTCAGTACAACTAAATTTCTCATTTTTGGAAAAAAATAATCCAGAGAAATGCTTACCTTATTCTTTACGTTCAATTTATCTTGTTCTTGGGACACATTCTCCTTAATGGTTCTGTCCACTCTGAAAGACATTCTTCTAAATACTGTAAAGTTCAAAACCTACAGTTCGCTAGGCCCCAAGCTGCTTTCCTTACCGCTTAAATTCTTTCACTAACGCGGGAAACTTTGGTGAAAACTTATATTTGCAGACTAGACCAATGAAACTTTAAGGTGGACAGATGTTTCATGCTGTCATCCAATAACCGTTTCGAGTTAGAGTTTTAGCGCTATATTGCAACAAATATTTTTCCCGCGTCGTTGTAAATATCGAAAAAGTAGGTGGAGCTACAAATTTACAAACTTGTTAATATAAATTAAAATAAATGATGAGCTTAAAAACCATTTTAATGCAAAAAAATATTATTACGACTTATAATTTTCACAAAATAGGACACGACATGGAAAGAAGTTCAAACACATGTTCAGTATTTATATGTTGTTTATCCACGAAGCTGATTATCACAGTTAATACCGATAATACCAACATATATTTCGTGCATGCTGTAAAAAGTTTCGTACACAGAAACGTTATTGTATCTACATAGTGATTATAAAATCCGGTTTCTGATAAAGTAGTGTCTCTTGCCTACTGGTGGCTTAAGACATTATTTGCTTCCTAGCTCTCATGAATATTCAGGTTCCATAAAAGTCAAGGATGGAATTCTTTACCACCTGAGCAACTGTTACATTTTCAATAAGGTGCAGTTTTATGAAGTTAAGTGATTTAAGATAAGACTTTTTTATTTCGTAATATTAAAAGGGTAAGGAAATGTTAACACATGTATTTCTTTTACTGTGTTGTTACCAAAAAATTATTTAGAGTCATTAATAGCTCTGTTAGTACTAAAACTAAATTACCTTTATTCCAAGAACAACCAAGTCAAAGATGAAGCTCAAAACTTAGGACCAAGGGTATCATAATGTGCTATATGGTTGTTCTTCCATACTTATTTATTCCCACATTATAAAGCATGCAATATCCCAGACCTAATAGGCTTCACATATTTGTATCATAATAGGAATGTGGATTTAAATCCCCATATTATGGGGCTGTTATTCAGACCTTAATTTCTGGGTTAACACTATTGCGGCATTCCAGTGTGATGTATTGTAAGGTGGACTGCCAATAAGCCATGACACATAGTTGATATAGGTTAAACTACCTTTAATCCAAGACCAGACAGTTGCCAGGTCAAGGATGGAATTATGACTTAAAACAAAGAGTAAGATAATGTGCTGCACTGTCCTCCAATACTTCCTCAGAAACCAGAATCTGATTACGATGAGACCGACATTTAGTCATTTTAGTTGTGAAAGTAACATAACCTTGTTCAAGTTAATATGATGTCTTGGGTAACCTATAAATTCACTGAGGAGATAAACACTGCTTATGAATTATATAGCATAAACTACCTGATTTATTTCTTATAACTACATTTTCAAAGAGAATATGCTACCACTTTAATATAATTAGGCCGTTACATTCAATAACAACAAAGAATAAACAAATATGTAATTCAACAATTTGTACACATTTCACCAATTTAATACAGTCCACATCTTAACTAATTTACAGTGTCTTAATCAAATTAACAAGTAACAAAGAAAATGATCTGGCAGGGGGCATTAATTTAATCATGCCAACTGGATCTGAAATTTTTAATGTGTATTTAACATTAATTTAATATATATTTATATGGACATTACAGTCCCATTAAAATTAAAGGTAAATATATTGTAATACATTCAACACAATCATACTGTAATGCTATTTTTATCTTCATTAATCCATACTGTCAGATGCTTAGTGCTTCGCTGCGTCTAAATATATATATGTTATTATCAGTCACGGATTTAAAGACATATTGATTAATTTTCAGCCATGTATTTAATGCTAGTAATACACAACTATTTAGTTTTATAAACAGAGAAGCTGCATATCTTCACTTAATTTTATGAACGTATATATCATAATTAAGATTGTATCCAACAGCTTACGTTAAATATTTTTAATGTGTTTTGTCAGCTCCCTGACTACCAAACTAAAATAAGAACTAGTTTGTATATTTCTTCCACAAGAAATGTTATCTTTGGACATAACCTAACACGATGGTTCATATTACTGAATGCCATCTTTTTTTAAGAACCAAAAAATAAGATGCATTTATTTTGCCAGAATTATATTGTATTCATCCATTTTTGATATAAAGTTTACTCCAGAGCTTAGTTTCTTAGGAGGTATCTTAAAGCAGTTGAGTAAAAGAAAGAGAATTATGGTAATACTTTAATCTATTTAGGAGGTTATTAATTCAGTTTCTAAAACAAGTTTCTCATCCAGTTTATCCTCAATATAATTTGTTGGCAATCATAGTCTTAATTTTCAAAATATCTCATAAAATTACAGCACATTAGTATTGTCATATGTGAGCCTAACAGATACATACAGACAGAAGTACTAATTTCCAGTAATAATTAAGTAACAGGATTGCACCCTCCAGTCTCCATTTACACCTTTCTTCATGTCGGAACACACTGCTGCTCAACACCGACATCAGATGATGACAGTGTAACAGTGATATATGTGATGTGGCATGAACAATGCCTTTCGAATGCCTGTGTTCTCCAAAGAGTACACATTTCCAATTTTCTTCGTTCCTCGGAATGCGCCTTTTCAGGGGCATCAGAAAGAAAATGTAAACTGGGACTTATGAAATCTTGCCAGTGCCACCAACTGAAAAACGCATATATACTCGTGTATCTGTAATAGACCATACTTGATGAGATTAGAACACGTGAATATGAATGACTGAAGATCACAGAAAATTACAAATCTAGAGGTGAAAAATAAGAGGAACCCCAAGCAGATGTTGGAAGGCGAACTCCGACACCTAAACACATAAAGTTCTGTAACCTACTAAGACAAGAAAATGTAATTATATGCATGTACAAACCTCTAAATTTTAAAAATAAATTAAGTATAAGGTGACTTAACCTACAAATTTTATAACTGTTCTTTTAATGTCTCTGGCAATAGTAATCCAATAATGACTAAGACAGAGTGTTACATTAAACATTTGTCTTACAAACATTAAACTTATGCCCATGTAACAATAAGGACTCCTTTTATACATATTTAATAAATTAAGATTATTTAAATAGTAATTATGTTTCTTCCACTCATTCAAAACAAATACATTATATTCCTGTTTATATATCTGTGGATACAGACATTAACAATATAGTGTCTGTCTATATTTATCACATAGATACAGTAACGTATGAATCACATTAACAAACTTTAAGTGATGTGAACGGTATATAACAATCAAAGTTTTCAGATACATTTGAGGCTAAGAACAACTTTACTGGGCAGTCAAGGTCTAACATGCGAAGTACATCATAAAAATTTAGATCCATGCAGGATTCTGGTTTTACATTTATTACATATAGATTTTTTTTTGTAAAAAAAATATTTTACTATTTTTCATTGTTTAAGATTCAATCAGTTTTCTGTAAACACTTCAAAGTAACATTATATCTTGTATTCGAGGAAGACCAAAGGATTTGGCTGGAGTTTGTGTCCTCTCAACTCCTTAGATGAACTAGAAAATGATTTTTTACAATTAAAATGCACGTGATACAAGTTATAAGCATGTGTACTTAAGTGGATTAGTTGGCATGGACCATATAACATTCAGTTCATTATACCGTTGATTTTTTTAATGGCCGAAACTGAAGTAAGAATTTAAAAATTATTAATTTGAATATTAAAAATATTAAATCTCATACTAATCAAATGTAAACATTTAAATAATTACCATATTTTATCCACATTTCCCTTCAGAGCTTCTAAATCAATGCATAGACTTCCAAAAATTATTGATTATTTTTATTCAGGAATTATTACAAAATAATTTGCTTCTTGTAGTACTTTTATTGACATTTTTTTTTCAAGGCATGTGAGAGACAACGGTGCCATCCTTGATAGTGGCAATACCTGGCCATAGTGTTGGCTGAACTGATTTAATTTGTTCTGTGACTGGAATCTTTGTGTCTGCCACGGCAGGTACAGGCAAACCTTGAGCCTGGCCTGGAATAAATGGTTCTACCAGAGACGTTGTAACGTAGTCATAGTATGCATTTTCATTGCAGCAGCGGCTATTATTGTTATTATGGCCTCCAACATGAAAGAACGTGGACAGCAGAAGAGTAAGAAGTAAGACCAAGCCTCCGCAGCAGAAGACCGCAAGCCCAGCGAGACGGCAGAGTTCCAGTCTGTGATTAAAAGCAACGGCCGTATGATCTAGTATTTCGATGTTACTATGATGGCCTACAATCATCTCACGCTGAGGTGTCAGATGTCCTACTAGGAGTGTAATGATTCCAACTAAGATCAGGTTGATCCCTCCCCAAAGTCCGGCACGGAACCAAAATCCGTGGCAACACTTACGACAGCCACGGCTTTTCATTGGATCCACCGTATACTCAAAGTCATCTTCCTGCAACATTAGAAAGAGATCATAAAATGAAATTTATGTAAGATTTGAGGTTTTCACACTGGTGAGTATGAAGATTTCCGTCTTCTGGGTTGTTGCGTAAACACTTCAAAGTAACATTATATCTTGTATTCGAGGAAGACCAAAGGATTTGGCTGGAGTTTGTGTCCTCTCAACTCCTTAGATGAACTAGAAAATGATTTTTTACAATTAAAATGCACGTGATACAAGTTATAAGCATGTGTACTTAAGTGGATTAGTTGGCATGGACCATATAACATTCAGTTCATTATACCGTTGATTTTTTTAATGGCCGAAACTGAAGTAAGAATTTAAAAATTATTAATTTGAATATTAAAAATATTAAATCTCATACTAATCAAATGTAAACATTTAAATAATTACCATATTTTATCCACATTTCCCTTCAGAGCTTCTAAATCAATGCATAGACTTCCAAAAATTATTGATTATTTTTATTCAGGAATTATTACAAAATAATTTGCTTCTTGTAGTACTTTTATTGACATTTTTTTTTCAAGGCATGTGAGAGACAACGGTGCCATCCTTGATAGTGGCAATACCTGGCCATAGTGTTGGCTGAACTGATTTAATTTGTTCTGTGACTGGAATCTTTGTGTCTGCCACGGCAGGTACAGGCAAACCTTGAGCCTGGCCTGGAATAAATGGTTCTACCAGAGACGTTGTAACGTAGTCATAGTATGCATTTTCATTGCAGCAGCGGCTATTATTGTTATTATGGCCTCCAACATGAAAGAACGTGGACAGCAGAAGAGTAAGAAGTAAGACCAAGCCTCCGCAGCAGAAGACCGCAAGCCCAGCGAGACGGCAGAGTTCCAGTCTGTGATTAAAAGCAACGGCCGTATGATCTAGTATTTCGATGTTACTATGATGGCCTACAATCATCTCACGCTGAGGTGTCAGATGTCCTACTAGGAGTGTAATGATTCCAACTAAGATCAGGTTGATCCCTCCCCAAAGTCCGGCACGGAACCAAAATCCGTGGCAACACTTACGACAGCCACGGCTTTTCATTGGATCCACCGTATACTCAAAGTCATCTTCCTGCAACATTAGAAAGAGATCATAAAATGAAATTTATGTAAGATTTGAGGTTTTCACAC